CTTTCCTTTTACCTTCATCATGAGGTCCTTTAGTTCTTCCTCACTTTCAGCCATCAGATTAGTATCATCCGCGAGGTTGTTGATATTTCTTCCAGCAATGTTGATTCCGGATTTGGATTAATCCAGCCCAGCCTTACGCATTATGTATTCCGCATATAAGTTGAATAAATAAGGTGACAATATACAACGTTGTTGCACTCCTTTCCTGATCTTGAACCATTCTGTTGTCCCATGTTCGGTTCTGACTGTGGCTTCTTGGCCCACACACAGATTCCTCAGGAGGCGGATGAGATGATCTGGTACTCCCATCTCTTTAAGAACTTGTCACATGTTGTTGTGATCCACACAGTCAAAGGTTTTAGAATAGCCTATGAAGCAGAAGTAGATGGTTTTTCTGGAACTCTGGCTTTCTCCATTATCCTTTGTACATTGGCAATATGATCTCTTGTGTCTCATCCTCTGCGAAACCCAGCTTGTACATCTGGTAGTAACGGGTCCATATGTTGTTTGAGTTGAGCTTGTAGGATCTTAAGCATTACCTTGCTGGCATGTGTAATTAGCGCAATTGTTCGATAATTGGAGCACTCTTTAGCATTGCCTTTTTTTGGGGATTGGAATGTAGACTGACATTATCCAGTCTTTTGGCCACTGTTGAGTTTTCCAAATTTGTTGGCATAAGGCAAGCAGAAATTTCACAGCATCATCTTGCAGAATTTTGAATTGAGATTTAATCAACTCCTGCAGCCTAGGGCCAAGGCATCCTAGGGCCCATCTTACTTCGTTCTCCAAGATTTCTGGTTTCAGCTCATTGGACCAAGTATTTATTGAGGCCATTACTACTGTTACGATCCTCCCTGTATAGATCTTCAGTGTATTCCTGCCTTCTCTTCTTTATCTGATCATCTTTTTTTTTTTATCACACCCACTTTGGCATGAAGGGTAACTTTTAGATCCGCAATTTTCTTGAATAGATCTCTTGACTTTCCCATTCTGTTATCTTCTTCTATCTCTTTACATTGCTCATTGTAGAATGTCTCCTTGTCTCTTCTTGCTATCCTTTGGAATTCTGCATTCAGTTGGACACATTTTTTCCGATCTCCACTACCTTTTGCTTTCCTTCTTTCCTGAGCTATTTTTAAAGCCTCATCAGATAGCCAGTTTGCCTACTTAGATTTCTTTCTTTTGGATATATATTTTTTCTTGCGGTTTCCTGGATAATATTGCAAACTTCGGTCCAAAGTTCTTCAGGCATTCTATTGTCCATGTCCAGTCCCTCAAATCTATTCTTTACTTCCATGTCATATTCACAAGGGATATTATTTATGTAGTATCTGATTGGTCTGATGGTTTTTCCTCTTTGCTTGAGTTTAATTCTGAACTTTGCAATAAGAAGCTCATGGTCTGAGCCACAGTCAGCTCCAGGTCTTGTTTTTGCTGACTGTGTAGAGCTCCTCCAGCTTTGGCTGCAAAGTATATAGTCAATCTGATTTCTATATTGTCTATCTGGTGATGTCCATGTGTAGAGTCATCTCGGAGGCTGTTGGACCTACTTCATTTTGAACTCCAAGGCCAAACTTGCAAGTTATTCCAGGTGTCTTTTGGTTCCCTACTTTAGCATTCCAGTCTCCTATGAGGATAGTAACATCTTTTCTTGGTGTTATATCTATCATGTGTTGAATATCTTCATAGAACTGGACAATTTCAGCCTCTTGAGTATCCATGGTTGGAGCATAAACTTGGATCACTGTGATGTTAAATGGCTTGACTTGAATTCAAGTTTAAATCATTCTGTCATTTACTATGCCACCCGCGATTTACTATGATGGCTACTCCATTTCTTCTGTGGGATTCTTGACCACAGTAGAAGAGGTGATGGTTGTCTGACGTGAAATGTCCCATTCCAGTCCATTTAAGTTCACTAATTCCCAGGATATCGATGTTTAACCTTGTCATCTCATATTTGATCACATCCAATTTGCCTTGGTTCATAGTTCTAACATTCCAGGTTCCTATGTTAAATTGTTCTTTGCAGCAGCGGACGTTCCTTTCCCCTCCAAACACATCCGCAGTTGGGTGTCCTCTCGGCTTTGGCCCAAACACTTGAGATCTGGTGCTACTCATACTCGCCCTCTGCTCTTCCTCAGTAATGTGGTAGGCACCTTCTGACTTGAGTGCTCATCTTCCAGTGCCATATCGTTATGTCTCTGGTTGTGCTTGTCCATATAGTTATCTTATAGTTACTGGAGTGGGTTGCTAGTTCCTTTTCCAGTGGACCACAATTTGTCTGACTGTATCCAGACAGATTTCTAGCTTTATCCAGACTTAAACCATCATCTTAGAGGCACACCTTTGCAATAATCATGCTGTCTAATTAGCATCTTGATATACCACACCTGTGAGGTGATGGATTATCTCGGCAAAGGAGAAGTGCTCACTAACACAGATGTAGACAGATTTGTGAACAATATTTGAGAGAAATAGGCCTTTTGTGTACATAGAAAAAGTCTTAGATCTTTGAGTTGAGCTCATGAAAAATGGGGGCAAAAACAAAAGTGTTGTATTTATAATTTTGTTCAGTGTATATCGCTATTACATGTTATATATAAAGAGCATAAAACATATTTTTAGATGCAACTTGTTAACAACATAAAAGGGCCCCCTAAGTGCCATAGATTAACTGTAGTTGTTATATATATATATATATATATATATATATATATAAATAGAGCATCAACAATAACTTACATAGAATTATTACCGGTAACTTTTCCAGTAATTTGCTTGTCTGCTAAACAGTAAAGCATTACTCAAGAGTCATGTTTAAACCCACCAAGACCAGAAAATCAAGTTTTGTTAAGAAACCTTAAGAAGGTCAAACATATAAAACATTCTTTACTTACAAAACATAAAGGCAAAACAAACAAGAGCAGGATATTACAAAACAAATTTAGAAACAAAACAAATTGGTACGAAACTTTCAAATAGAGTGCTAAAAAAGTACCATAAATGGCGAGTAAATATAATAGTATTTAAGATAAAGAATAAAATGGGTACACGTGATTTGTCAATTGTCACTTCATAATTCAACCTGCAAACTAAGACTAGCTACATTTATTTTCTACACAATAGCAATGTTGTTATGATTATACATGTTTTGTTCTTACATCATATGCAATCTTATAACTAAGGAAAGGAATTTAAAAAAATCAAGCAGCAGCTTATGTGAACAAACAAGACAGGACAACAATAAAACCTGTCTGAGCAGAAGTGAAATGCATCATGTTCTGTTCACATCTGGAAGGGCTGAAACCAGTTTATCTCCCAAGAGAAGACTGAGTAGAACACTGATAGAGCCAGGGGAATGTATGCTAAACAAACAAGTGTTCCAGATGATGGAGTTGTTATAGCCTCATAAGTATTGATTTAAATGTGATCATGAAGAATGCTCAAGTTTAGCATAGGATGCTTTATTGTAGATCTAGAACAGTCTGTGACGTATATTTTCTCTGTTTCCCCATATTACATGAAGCACTTAATCCTACTTGCTACTGCTATATGGCTAAGAAGACCTTGTAACCTCTCCTACTGAAAATGTGTGCAGCACAACCTTGGCAATTTCATCTGAAGGAAGACCTTCTCCATCAAACTCCAATATAATAATATTTGTTATATAACAGTGATCTTAAGACCTGGTTCATGAAAGGAGGATCACCCAAGTCTCTGGGGTCTCTGATACCATGATTAACACATTTTCATAAGCTAGGAATCTATACACTTAGGCAGCCCACCGTAAAGTAGGATCTTTATTTAAAGAATGGGGTTCATTGAAATAATTCTCCTTTAGATATCTTTCAAAATGTAGCATTCCTTGAGTTACGTTTTGATAAAGTACTAAGTTTAAATACCCTACAAGTAGAAGGTTCTGGATTATCGGCATTAATGTTAGGGATGGGATTTAGGTCAAGTGGTCCAGATTATTCAAAGCAGTCCTAAGAATAAGACCCCCATCTCGAAATATTGCGCTTTCTTGGGATTTTCCCACGGGGTTGTTGTGACTGTCTAATTTTTTTTATTTAAACCAGTTTCAGAATGTCCCCTTGCAGTTTCAGAGAAGCCTGTAGAGGCGCTTCCTGCATTTTCACAGATTTTAACTCAGTGAAACAAAGTTGGATGTTTTCCTGCTTTCCATGAGGGCATCCAGCGACTTCAAAATCCCTATAGCAAAGTATTCTATGCTTTCCTATGGGAACCTTCTAATGAACTCGCCACAAATGTGTGTTAGGTTCTCCGTCAATGGAATTAAGGGAATTATTAAAAGGGTTTTAAACCCTTTTAACATGGTGAAAAGAGGAGGCGGGGGGTGTGGAGGAGGGGCACAGAGGTACACAATAGCGTTAGGAATACAGTTTGGTTTTACTAACTTCATGGTGTTCCTTTAAAGATTCTTTTTACAGTGGCAATTTCCTCTGCAAAAAGAGTTTTAGCTCTTTCTAGAGAAGAACAATTTACTTGTATTCTTCAGGACAAAGTTGTCAAACGTCTAATTCTAGAGTTACTGACAAAATATTTTTCAGTTCCATCTTTTCCAAGAAATTCTTACCTATCTTACTCTAACTTAACTCTAGTTCTACCCCTGATAAAGAAATAGCTTAACACAAACGTACTGATAGAATGAA